TTGAAAGCCCAGTCTTTCTCCCTCAGAGCTGTTGGCAGTTTTGAACAGCGAACCATGTGGATTGTACCCCAATGCCTAACCACCGCACCACCAGGACTCCCAACCTTGTATTCCTTTCTGAGTGTACTTCCTTCACCAAGAGTTTCAAACTGATTTGTAAGCTGTACAGTCATCTCTCCTGTCTCTGAATTCACTGCCTCTCTTATTTGTATAAGGAGCCTTGGCAGCACAGTGGATAAGTGTTGGACTGCTACTTGGCAGTACCACGGTTTAAATCCACCAGCTGCTGTGAGAGAGAAAGACTCGCAAAGACTGAGCCTTGGAAAGCCTAGGGTACAGTGCTCCTCGGACCTTTTGGGTCCCATGAGTCAGAATCCAACTCGTGGCAGTGGTTGGGTGTAACTTTAGGTTATTTGTATGAGGGTCTGAAGGAGCCAGGCGAGACTTGAGCACTGGAACTAGAGCACTATTAGCTTATGATTTTGAGTCTCATAAACAATGAGCACTTCTTAAAACCTTTCTTAATTTTGCACATTTTGGCCAATCATGTTTTAGTTTGGTTTGGCTCTAAAAGATAGAAAGTGTGTTTCTTTGAGTTTGATGTCAGGACCAGTGGAGGACTGTGAAGTAGCAACATTACCCTTAAATGAATTTCACAGTGCTGCTTTTTATTCTCCTAAGTAGCAGCAAACAAAAGTAATTTCGTGCCTGAAGGAAAAGACAGGGGAAAGATTAGTATTGTAAAAATGAGAATAATCCATATAATCATGTAATTCTTTGTTTTGATAAGAGAGAAGTAGAAAGATACACATACACTCTCAGCACGAAGTTTAATAATGATGTTCTTTCCCCCACTCAGAGCCTACACGTCATCTGCAAGCAGAACAAAGATCGGAAGAAAAGGAAAAGAGAACACACAGTGGCAGAAGGCAGCTGTTCCGTTATGGTAAGAGAGAGCTGGTCTCAGCGCGGTGTGGACTCGCGGTCAGGAAGCCCAGGAGCAGTGCCTGAGTGAGCTGGGGAGTGTGGTGCTTTTTCAGAGAAGTCGTTGGATAATCGCACCATGGACCTGGAGGAGTGTTTCCCTTCAGGGAGCACCGGCTGATGTTTTGGTGTTCTCAACAAAGGGCTTTTCAGAAACAAGAACACGGACCAGCCTCTTCAGTTAGAGAGTCCAGGCGTGCCTCATTGTATTGAGCTTCACTTTCTTGCACTTCCCAAAGACTCCTTTTTTGGGGGTGTTTATTTGTTTTTTACAAACTGAAGGCTTGTGGTAACCCTGCATCGAGCAAGTCCTGTCAGTGCCATGTTTCCAACAACATGAGCTCATGTTTCACATTTTGCTAATTCTCACAGTATTTCAAACTTTTTCATAATGCTCGCACACCCAGTAGACTACAGCTTAGGGTGGACTTAATTTTTTATATGCCTTGAGATCCCAAAAAGTCTGTGTGCCTCACCTTTCTTGTGCTGTTCCTGTTATTGTGGTAGTCTGTTACCAAGCCTGCAGGAGCGCTAAGCTTTGCCTGTATTAGTTTCTCTTGTGGCCTTTTTGAGTCTGAGCCCTTAGGAAAAGAGTAGTTTTGACAAGTTATATATATATTGCTAAGATGGAAGACTATCCTGATAGCTCAGTTTGTAACAACATTACTAATTGTTGCAATAGAAACAGAAACCCAGTTTTTACCTTTTAACAAAGATACTGTGTCTTCAATCATTAAATTGTGAAGGTAGTTCTGATGGACTTCCATAACAGACGGTGCAGAGGAGCTGGGAGAAAGAAACCCACCAGCACCAGCACGATACAGCTCTGTCTCTATCCGTCACTGCAGCTTCCCCCAGGCTTTGTCCCTACTTACTCTCTCTTTTTCTCACCCTCCCACAGGACACATCATTTTTGTCATCATGGGGATAGGCCTGGCTGTCTTTCTGCTCAATGCTATCAGTAGTTACTATTTCTCTCAAGCCCAACAAGTGCACAAAAATCCGGCTCTGGAGACCTTCCTGGCTCATTTCACCCAGTTGCAGGATAAATTTCCAGGCCAGAGTTCTTTCCTGTGGCAGAGGGGACGCAAGTTTCTACAGAAGCACCTCAATGTCTCCAACCCCACCGAGCCAGCCACTGTCATATTCACAGCCGCCCGGGAGGGGCGAGAGACCCTGAAGTGCCTGAGCTACCACGTGGCGGATGCCTATACTTCATCCCAGAAAGTCTCTGCCATTCAGATCGATGGCGCAGCAAGAACCTGGCAGGACAGTGACATGGTCAAGCTGTTAGTCGACCTTGAGCTTAGCTCTGGATTTGAGAATGGCCGGAAGGCGGCCGTGGTGCACCGCTTTGAATCCCTTCCTGCCGGCTCCACTCTGATCTTCTACAAGTATTGTGACCATGAGAACGCAGCCTTCAAAGATGTGGCCCTTGTCTTGACAGTCCTTCTGGAAGAGGAAACATTGGAAGCCAGTGTCGGCCCAAGGGAAACGGAAGAAAAAGTGAGGGATTTGCTCTGGGCCCGGTTTACCAACTCTAACACTCCCAGCTCCTTCAACCACATGGACTCGGACAAACTGAGCGGGCTGTGGAGCCGCATTTCACACCTGGTCCTGCCCGTCCAGCCTGTGAGGAACATCGAAGAACAGGGGTGCCCATTAGAAAGCTAAGCACCGAGTTGGCTATTGAAGAGGTGGATTTCTTTTTCCCTAAGCCAGCTTAAAATCCTTCCATTTATGGGGAAGGTGGTTGATAAATGCTAGCAAATGGAGAAGTACAAGTGAGCATGCTTTAGAAAAAAATTGCCCTTTTCACTTTTCATGGTATTTTTCTAATCCATGTGCGACAAAGCTAAAAATGGACCTGATTTTACCCCCTCTTTCCCTTTCAGCCTGACATATATAATTGAGGATTTTTTTTAAAATCCAAAAACATAGCAACAGAGCATTTGCACAGGAAGAAACCCTTGCTTCCCACAGTAACTACAGAGTGATTTTTTATTTTCTTGTGTGAGACTGTAAGGAGTCTTTCCAGTAATGTTTAGACTCTGAATAAGGCAATTACATTTATGAAGCAGTGATCATGTTTAGGAAAATATTTTTGTTAAATATTTTTAAGCCCCTCTTAAATAACCCTGTCATGGGTTACATTTTATGCTATACTTGCACTTTCGAGTCGTGCGAAACAAGGAACCGGGCATCAAGCCATCCATGCTTACCTAAATACTGTCCATCAAGCACTGTGCTTTTATTCCGTTACTGAGCTGACGTGGAAGCCATCTAGGAAGAGGGGAGATTGTTTATAACCATTGGAAAGGAAGAGATTCCCATCGGCTCTCTCTCTAGTTCAGCTTTCCTGAATGACTCAGAGCCATGGTTTTCAAGCTACCTGCATCCCTTCCCCTTTGAAGGCGATTAATTGGGCTTTTGACTATTTTATATTTTGGGTTTTTTATAAGATTTCCCTGGATCGTGGAGGTTTGAAGCTACTGATTAAGTGGGAAACATCTTAGAGGATTAGGAAGTTGGTAGAAACGAATGAATGGATTGAAATTTAGGAGTAGGAAGAGTGACGGTGACACAGGCTTAATGTATAGAAGTGCTGCCTATGGGAGATCCAGACTACATACAGAGGAACAGCAGGTCGTGCACTAGCATTGACTGGCATGTTTCTGGTGCTTTTGTTAATTTATCTTATAATTTCACTCTCCCCTGCATGGAATTTTGTAATCGTCAAGAATGAGAATTCGAGTGTCCTTTGAGCAGAATGGATTTCAAGAACCAATCAAATTGTAGGTCTTATGTTTCATAGGGGCACATTGACCTAGCTTTGCAAACTTTCATTTGCTGCGTGGTGATAGGACATGATATCATGCAGTTCATTTCATGGCCAGGTAGTCAGCACTATTAAGATGAAAGAAATGCAGGAACTATTATACTTAAGAGGAAAGAGAATATTCGCTAGGTCCTGTGATTGTAAGAAAGACTGAAAACAGTACTTTTGGAGACAGTGGGTGTTGATTGGCATCTGAGTTCTGAAAGCAGAAATCTAGTAAAGTGACTGACCCTCGCCTAATGAAGGGGCTGTTCTGATGCAGGGGAAAGCATTCTGAGGGACTGCCTGGGAATGTTTCCACTAGGTTTGGGCCTCTTCTGCTTTTAATGAGAGTGTGTATGCAAATGTGTGTGTTCACCCACCAGCTCCCCAGGGGAGAAAGGTGGGACAGTCTGCTCTCTTCAAGATTACAGCCTTGGAAACCCTATGGGCAGCTTTGTCCTACAGGGTTGCTTTGAGTTGGAATTAACTGAGTGGCACACAATGACACACACATGCACACATACCAACATAAGAAGCCATGCAATGTGAGTAGAGTGTGGAAGCATTTTAGGAAACACTAAGAAGACCCAGGGATATTTAGCGATCTTGAGAAAGAGACCAGAAAGACAGGGGAAGAATCTGATAGAAATACCTGCCACAGGAAGAACACACAAACCTCTTACCAATGCCTTAAGCTGTGCTTCTTGGTGTATGTGCAGGCATAGCTCAAGGAACAAATTGCATTTGGAATTTTGTGAAGGAAACTTCGATAGAATTAAGAAAGATCTGAACAAGAAATGAAAGCACAATGACTTTGTCAATGTCAATATAAGATCAGAGGAAATAGAAGAAAAATCTGTGTTTGATATTCAAGCTTATTCTTTATTTCTAGATTGTAGATGCTAGCATTCCCATCCAAAAGACCAGTGGTGCCTTACAGGACGGAAGCGTTGACCTGCTGGCTTGTGCTACCTCATGTCAAGAAAGGAACCAGCAGGAAGTGTTCTCTCAGCTCTCGGCAAGGGCTCAGTTCACACTGGATACCAAGGCTCTTGTTTCTTCATTCTGTTGAATATGGTTTTTCATCCTTTCCTCTTAATGTAACTAAGAAAAAGAAATTTCCAAGAATCACAACTTTCTTATTGTTGTCCAGGCATTGTGTTTTTCCTTCCATGTATAAGTGCAATCAACTATAATTGTCCTCTGTTTCAAAAATCACCTTAAAAAGAGGCAATGTATTAAAGAACACTGGATTACCTTGTGAGATAAGAAGGAAATGATTGTTTTTAAAGCGTAAAACAGACTCTTCTATGTGCCAGCAATGAACATCTTCGGTCTGATGTGCTTTCCCATTTGCGTGTTGTTTTACACTGTCAGTGTCCCAACTCCCTTTCATGTACTTTTCATTACTGTCATAGATACCTTGCTTCCTTGCCTTGGGAAAATAATTTGTGGGCATGTGATTCCGATGTGCATTAGCATAACTCACTTGGTGAGTACCGCCACAGCTGCAGAAACATCTGGTGGGATGAAACCGTTTCCATACTGGGGATTCTTCTTCCCTTGGGGCAAGTTTTACTTACCGGACAGCACCACGGGCTCCTTTCCTGGAGGGGGCGGGGCGGGGGGTGGCTTGGCAAGGTAACTGTTAAGTTTCTCAGTTCTTTCGAAGGGTTTGCAGAGGCTTGCCTGGTTGGTGAGGAACTGGGAGGCCATATTCTATCAGACCATTAATTTGAGCTTGTGGCAGGTGATTAGCGAGGTGCAGTGTGTCCTGTGACTCAAAATCTCTGAGTTAATCACCCACTTACATCTTGCTAGTTACTGAGGAGTTTTGACCCTCGGTGCAGTTTCACAGTTTGAGTTATACTTTGACTGTTAAAGACAGGAAGCCGAATGAGCATTGGTGGTCGTGGTGGTAGGTGCCATCAGTTGGCTGTGACCCACAGCCACCCTGTGTACAGCAGAATGAAACAACACACTGTCCTGCGCCATCCTCAGAACTGTTCCTGGGCCTCGGCCTGGGCCCATTGATGCAACCACTGTGTCCATCTGCTCTGTCAAGGGCCTTCTCCAGGGAGTGGTCTCTCCCGACAACATGTCCAAAGTCTGTACAATGAAGTCTTGCCTCTTTGCCTCTGAGGAGCGCTCCAGCCGTACTTCTTCCAGTACAGATAAGTTTGTCATTTTAGCCGTGCATGGTACTTTGTTTTCTGCTCCACACCATTCAAATGTATTGATGTCACAGTGTAACAAATGGAGCATGTCAAAAGAATGGTAATTCAGCAAGATGGTCTTCACCAGCACTGTTAAGTTGCGTATATCTGACCAGTATTCTTAGTTACTAATAGTATATAAAATTTGCAGTTATTATATCTGATAAGTTTTTCACCGAAGGGCAATAAAGCCTATGTTCTGACCCTGTGTATTTGTGAGGAGTACTTTGAAACAGCAACATGGAATACAGTACTTACATGATATCTAAATACCTAATTATCATGGAATAACTTTCATAGTACTATAAATCACTTCTTTGAAAATGAAACAAAAATTGTACATGTTTGGAAAATTTATCTCTGTAAAGCCCCCACCCCACAAAACATTTCCTGGGGCAAGTTAGAAAAATGGCAGAGCGGAGGCGTCTGACCTGCTTTTATGAAGTGAGTTGACTCGCTGTCAGCATCAGCCCCAGACTGATTTCCTTTGAGCCAAAGGTCAGACACCACCTCTCCTACCTCTGCTGGCTTTGATAACTTGTTGCACTGGCCACACACACTACTCACGATTATGGGGTGTTAGGGAAGGAAGTAATAGGTTACAGTTCAGGATCAAGAGCAAGTCAGGATACAGTTCTTTGATCAGTATAGCTCCTCCTCACCCAAGCCCACAGGCAAGCTTTTGATGTTGGCCTCTTGGTCCCTTAAACCTCTGTTCTGCTCAGTGTGGACACCAGTCACACAGTTCTTTAGCTCTCCTAGTAATTTCCCCGAGGGAGCAAGCATCCTGCCAGAGGCACTCCGCCTCAGCAAGTGGAGGCTCTGCTGTGCCCACAAGCCTCACACCCAAAGGCGCACAGCTTTCTTGCTCCTTGGGCCAAGATGCCCACCATGCTTTCTCCTGTTAGTGGTCTGGTTCTGCTGCCTCTCTGTCTCTATTTGTCACTGTCTCCTACCATCTCTAGTTTTACAGCTCCTTGTTTCCAGAGGTCTCAACACTGAGACCCTGGGTCCAAAGGATATGCTCTACTCCCTTTGCTTCTTGGTGGTAGTGTATCAACCCACATCCCCACTCTACTCTGGGATTTGCTCTCTTTTAAGCCTAGCAGGATGGTACAATAGAACAGTAGCCTCAGTAGAGTTTTATGCACCTTGTTTGCATGGGCTCTTGCCCCCCTTATTTACATTAGCAAACTATCTGATGCCCTTGGTGGACCCTTGGTGCCTTATTTGTGTAACTCTCTCCAGTCATTTGGTGAGAGTTACACAAGACCATGGCTAGAAAAGTGACATACAAACTGTCCCATTACACCTTAGAATTTTAATTTTTTTATCAAGGTAAACATGTAAAGTTTTAATCTTCATTTTGTCGTTTGTTCACTAATCTGCATAATTTTAAAATCTTGAGTTAAATGTTTTTACTTTTCCTCTGCAAATTTAATTTAGATAAATACTGTATATCATCACTTGTTTAGAGGGAAAGTTGTTCAGATGTATTATGACTTATTACAAATTACTTGATCATAATCCATGGAAATGTGATAAAATAATTACTGTAGGACATTCCTAAGGGCATCTCAAATTATAGAACACTGAGGTTTAAGAGTCACAAAAATTAGGAAATGCTTGCAGATTATAATATATTTTCAAAATTCTATAGTCGATTCTAGAGAATTAAAATTAATATATCCATGTAACCTGGTTTCTTATTTCTATTTGTTAAGTGTTAGACTGTGAAGTAACTGATAATGGTAGCCTGAATTTGCCTTACTCAGACTCTTAAGCTCATTTCCAACTAATGTACTGTGCTATCACTTCTATATCTATATAATATTGCTGTACAATCTTTGATAAACATCCATGCAAACAAGTAAAGAGCACTCGTTTGATCCAGATGACCTGAGCACCAACCACTGAACTAGTGGCTGTTGAACGAGTGGCGCGTCAGTCAAACTATGAAAACTCCTTAGGGTTTGCAATGATGAGCTATTCAGAAAACAGATCACCAGGGCTTGCTTTTCGGGCGCCCCTTCCGGTGGCCAAGCACCTTAACCATGTGCAGACACCACCCAAGGATTCAGAGACCACAACCAGGTTCCCCCAATTTATGTGTATTCTGTACAGACATAGTGCCTTGCCTTCTGGTATTACCTACATCACCTACATTTTCCATTTCAGTTGGTTTCACTGTCTATAAATCCACAGACAGATTCCTATATTGGAAAATGACCTTTCACTTTTCTGGGATATGAGACTTACACAAGCCAAAAGAACATTTTGGAGTTGGCAAGCACAGACCGAGAAATTGCCATGGAGCAGAACCAGCCAGAAGGTGGTATGCTAGCCACCAGGGGCCCTCAGCCTTCTCTCTCTGCCCAAATGGAGCCCCAACACCCACCTCAATACAAAGCTCCTGGTACCACTCCCAGTTGATACGGAGGTTGCACGAGGTTTAAAGCTACTTGCCAATCCCTTCACAAAAGAGATGGCACCATTGATCCAAATCCAACTGCATTTTACTTCTTTGTACTTAAATGGGCTCTGTCAGTATTAATCTGAGATTCTTGACATTCCCCCTTCTTTGTAGGAATGTAGTTGCTTTTGCATTTGTTTCTAATGGATGTTGTAGAATGTGCCTTATTCATATGAGCTGTCTGATTACCAAAAATAAATCAATTTTGCTCAGTTGCTTGAGTCTTGATTAAAATTTGCAACATAGCAAGTTTAGAGAATTGGCATCTGGTCAATAATTGTGGAAGAGAAAATGGCAATTCTTTTAGCAACAAGCTGAAAAGTGCAAGAATCCTGTGAGGGCCAGGTGGCACTCATGGGCATCAGTGAAGTGGGGTTTGTGGACATTGGCTAGAATCTACTACAGTTCCCTGTTAACCTCTTTCATGTACTGTTGCCATTGAATGGATTCTGACTCGTAACCACCCATAGGACTGATCTGAGAAGAATCGCCCTGCAGCATCTTCCAAGACTAATCTTCATGGAAGCAGACTGCCACATCTTTCTCCCACAGAGTGGCTGGTGCCTTCAACCCACCCTTTGCTTAGTAGCTGAGTGGTTGGGCCTTTGGGGGCTCTAAGTAGAGCTCTAGATATTGTTCCTAACACGAGGCACGATTGGCAATGTGTCTGTGTCTTGAGAGGAAAGGGTGAGAATTTCCAGAATGAGGTGAGCAAACCTCATTCTGAACACCCTCTTCTACCTTTCTC